TTTTTGCGTTCCAGTGGGACACCCAACAAGCCGGCCAAAGGGCCCAATACATGTGGGCTCGTCTCCCTCAGGGCTATCACAGTAGTCCCACGATATTCGGACAGGCACTGGCTAAAGACATGGAAGAATTTGAAATTCCGGAGAGTGAAGGGGTGTGGCTCCAATACGTGGATGATTTGTTGATAGCCTGTAGGACAGAGGTTGGGTGTAGGCACTACACCCTGAAAATGTTGGAAACATTAGAGGAAAAAGGATACAAAGTGTCCAAAAAGAAGGCTCAATTGTGTCAAAGAAGTGTAAAATATCTGGGATTTGAAATAACTGAGGGACATCGGTCACTGGGAGTTGAAAGAAAAAAAGTTATTTGTGCAATACCAACCCCGTCCAGCAGGAGGCAGGTTAGGGAATTTTTGGGTTCAACAGGGTATTGTCGGCAGTGGATTCCAGGCTATGCTGTATTGGCCAAGCCTTTATACCAGGCCACCCGAGGGAATAGAGAAGATCCATTCCAGTGGACAGAAAAATGCCAACAAGCCTTTGAAGCTTTAAAAAAAGCTTTGATGTCATCACCAGCCCTGGGCCTACCGGATATGGAAAAACCCTTCACTCTGTTCGTATCGGAGCGAGAAGGAGTAGCAGTGGGCGTACTTACCCAGGCTTTAGGGTCATGGCAAAGACCAGTGGCATACTTGTCAAGGCAACTAGACACAGTAGCGCAGGGAATGCCACCATGCCTGCGGGCTGTGGCAGCAGCAGTAGAAGCAAACAAATTGACTTTAGGGCAGCCACTGGTCGTAAAGGTACCACACCATGTGAAGGCACTGTTAGACACCAAGGGACCACGCTGGCTCACAAACGAGAGACTGACTAAGTATGAGGGGGTGTTATGTGACAACCCAATGGTAACCCTGGAAACTTGCGCCACCCTGAATCCGGCTACCTTGTTGCCTGCCCCGGGGGAGGAGATGATCCACCAGTGCATTCAGGTGATGGAACAGGTATACTCCAGCCGACCCGATTTAAAAGACGTACCAATGTCCAACATAGACATGACCCTATTCACAGATGGCAGCAGCTTCGTGGAAAATGGTGAGAGGCGTGCAGGGTATGCGGTGGTACGGGGGGGGGGAGAGATTTTGGAAGCAGAGTCGCTCCCTCCGGGAACCTCCGCTCAGCGGGCCGAGTTGATAGCCCTCACCAGGGCACTGCAGTTGGCAAAAGGAAAGCGGGTCAATGTCTACACGGATTCAAAGTACGCTTTTACTACGCTTCATGCCCATGGAGCTTTGTACAAGGAGCGGGGACTCCTTACGTCGGCTGGAAAGGGCGTTAAGAATGCAGCTGAGATTGTGGCCCTTCTGGAGGCGGTTTGGGAACCGGATCGGGTTGCTGTAATGTAAGGGACACCAGAGGGGAGAAGATCCAGTTACGCAAGGAAATGGGTCAGCTGATTTGGCCGCAAGGGAGGCAGCAAAACACCCCCGCAATAAGCAGTGCCTGCTAACTGCAACTACATTAGAGGACCCCCCCATTAGAAAAGTTTGCATATACACAGGAGGAGAATTGGGCCTTGGGGGAAAAAGGAAAATGGAAGGGAGAGGTCATTGTGATGCCAGATAACCGCGTCTACTTCCCTAAGGACATGGCATGGCACATAGTCCGACACATGCACTACACTACACACCTGGGTAAGACGGCCCTAGCAACGTTGTTGGGACGACAGATGTACATCGATGGGCTCCATAGCTTAACGGCAGCGGCTGCACGCAGGTGCTGGACCTGCGCCAAGAATAACCCTCGAGAAGGACCCTTAAAGCCCCCAGGAGTTCAACATGTAGGCAACACCCCGTTCGAGGCAATTTTGACTGATTTCACCAAACTGCCTCCGCAAAAGGGCTACAAATATTTGCTTGTTTTTGTGTACACTTATACTGGGTGGGTAGAGGCATACCCAACCCGTACTGAGAAGGCGGTAGAAGTTTCTAGGGCACTGTTAAGAGACATAATCCCAAGGTTTGGAATACCATTGGAAATAGGATCTGATAACGGTCCAGCTTATGTACACAAGGTAGTTCAGGGATTGTGCCAAATATTGGGCACCAAGTGGAAGTTGCATTGTGCCTATAGACCCCAGTCATCCGCAAAAGTTGAAAGAATGAATCGGACTGTAAAGAATGCTATATCAAAAACCTGCCAAGAGACAGGGCTGGGATGGACTGTAGTGCTGCCCATGGTGCTATTGAGAATAAGATGTACCCCCCATAAAAGAACAGGTTTGACCCCCTATGAGAGACTGTATGGAAGTCCACCACTAAATTTGAGGTCAATAATAAACAAAGGGGGAGACCAACATGTGATTGGAGACAAACAGACGATTCAACAGTTGCAAGCTCTGGCTGGACAGATAGAAAAAATAGCTCAATATACATCAGAACTGAGCCCACCTTATCCTACCACACCTTTGCATTGTTTTTCGCCAGGTGACGAAGTGCTCATTAAGGAGTGGANACAATATACTTCAGAGTTAAATCCACCCTATCCTACCACACCTTTGCATTGTTTTTCGCCAGGTGACGAGGTACTTGTGAAGGAGTGGAAGATTGACCCACTAGGACCCCAATTGACCCACTAGGACCCACTAGGTGGAGAGGGCCCTATACTGTGCTGATATCAACCCCTACTGCCATTAAAGTGAAGGAAGTTAAGCCTTGGATACATTATACCCGTGCCAAGCTGGCACCCCCCGTGTGGGAGATAAAAAAGGCAGATCAGAGTGACCTGAGACTCAGGATCATCCGGCAACTCCCTGCGGGGTCAACAAGGCCATGAAGTTGACCTCTTCGGGAACAACAGATCGTCGCAGGTCAAGTATGACGCAGCGTGGCCCAACGAAAGCCCTATCTTGGAAGTGGTGGATAGAAATTATAATGGGGAGGAGGGAAGGGTGCCCTAGAAAACCAGTTGGAGTTTTTCGGGTACATGATGCTTATAAACATGATCACTATGATACAGGGAAATTGGCTAAAAGAACATGCCAGATTCATGTTTGATCAGCATGGAAAAGATGTGGCACTCCTATATGAACATCCAGAGAAAGTAGGTGACTTCTCTTTCCTCCCTACACTAATAGCCGACCCCCAGGTGGTGCTCGGGGGGTTACAAGGAACTATTCAAAATCCCACCATATTTTCCCAGGTCCCCGATGGATTAAAACACATTAAATTCAGACGAATAAGATATACTGCCACCACGAGGGGAATGTGTTTTTGTTGTGCAAACAAGGGTACATGGAATCAAAAATGGAAAGGCTGGGAACACAGAAAAGCCTTCCTAACAAGGTTGACAAATTACACTCACTGTCAGGACAAGTTTTATTTGTATGGAACCTATAACTCTACATATGTTAACAAACAAAATTTGGCAGACACGGATTGGAAAGAACTATACCCTGAGTACCCACTGTTTGAGTCAAATTACACGTCCCTGAGAAATGGAGGCAGTATTTGTTCAGGATGGCATATTAGAGATCCCAATATGTGGTTTTTCTTTGATAAATGGGCAACCAATTTTCATCCAGGAGGAAACCAGTGTGTTGGGGTAGGATACCTGACATTCCCTGTACGAGTCCTTAAACACCCTAGGAGGCTCCAGAGATCTTTGAAAGCCATAGCACCCCTAGGACCTGAGTGTTCAGACGAAGTGATTATAGACTCACAACTGTCCGAAACTGGAGGCTCAAGGGTAGGAGGAGGATTAATAACAGGGCTCCTAACCCTCGGGTCCTATCCTGGAATAATGGCCCAGGAAAACAGAAAGAGTATCATGGGACTCACATGTAGATTAGAGAAAAGCATAAATGCCACAGGAAAAATAGTTAGACAATTACAATCAGAAATTGAAGAACTAAGCCAAATGGCAATGCAACACAAGCTAGCCCTAGATTATTTGTTGGCAACAAAAGGAGGATTCTGTTCTATAATAAAGGGCCAGTGCGTGGTCCAGTTTCATAATCTGAACCAAACAATTGAAGATGATTTAGAAAAATTGCAAGAGTTAATAAATCATAACGTAAAGGAAGATAGATGGCAACCTTTCTCATGGTTGACGACTCTGTTTCCTTCAGCATCATGGCTTAGAGAAATAATACTTGTGATTATGCTATGCGGTTTTGTCTTTTTGTTGCTAATGTGCTGTTTTCCAATTTTGCTCCAAGTTTGCCAGAGATATATACATCAGACAGCTTCGGTAGAAAAGATAGCTCTCATTAAAGGGCATGATTGGAGAGACCCGTAATATCTAACCCTTGCTGATTTGCTCTCGCTTTTGTAGACAGCTTCGCAAAACAAAACATGTGGGAATAAGGCAGAAAGGTATAGCTGTAGGTATGCAGAAAGGTATAGCTATAGAAAAGGCAAAAAGTACAGCTTTTGTTTATTAAGGCTGCCGGGGTTTGCATGTAGAAAAGAGAACGGATGGACTTGACCATATATGGGAGACAAAGACAGGCTCAAGATGAGTTTTTTGTGAAAGAGGTGAAAAATCGGTCATGAGACTTGCCAACTTTGCAGAAAGGAAATGGCCAAGGCTAAAAGTTTAAACTTGCCAAGATCAGCAGATGTTTCCAGCTGTATTTTGCATGTCAGCGTCTTGAGATGTTTCCAAGAAGGGGTTTGCTCATTGCGAAGCGAAACTTAAAAATATATGAGCTAATTGCTAATATAACTATAATATTGACAGCTTTCTTAACCAATGATTTAATCTTCGGGGCGGCTCTTAAAGCCGAACCCCTTTTGATGTATAAAAAGAACACTACCTTTGATGTTGGGGGCTTTTCCCAGAGACGCCATTGTTGTGTCGAAAAGCCTCTAGCAGCTGCTATAAATAAACTTTGATATTCTTGCTGAACCCAGTTGGCTGTTTTTCCTGACTCATCTGCGTCCGCAATTTGAACTGAAACGGAGCATTTTGGCTGAGCCTTTGAGCAATTGCTCAGAGAAAGAAAAAGCCTGCTTCACAACAACAATATATTCTGCCAGGCAGGAAGCAGCCAGGCTTTGAAGCTGCAAGGCTTTGCAATGGTAATCAATATATTCTGCCAGGCAGGAAGCAGCCAGGCTTTGAAGCTGCAAGGCTTTGCAATGGTAATCAATATATTCCGCCAGGCAGGAAGCAGGCAGGCTTTGCAGCTGCAAGGCTTTGCAATGGTAATCAATATATTCTGCCAGGCAGGAAGCAGCAGGCTTTGCAGCTGCAAGGCTTTGCAATGGTAATCAATATATTCTGCCAGGCAGGAAGCAGCCAGGCTTTGAAGCTGCAAGGCTTTGCAATGGTAATCAATATATTCCGCCAGGCAGGAAGCAGGCAGGCTTTGCAGCTGCGAGGCTTTGCAATGGTAATCAATATATTCTGCCAGGCAGGAAGCAGCCAGGCTTTGAAGCTGCAAGGCTTTGCAATGGTAATCAATATATTCTGCCAGGCAGGAAGCAGGCAGGCTTTGCAGCTGCAAGGCTTTGCAATGGTAATCAATATATTCCTCCCAGGCAGGAAGCAGCCAGGCTTTGAAGCTGCAAGGCTTTGCAGTGGTAATCAATATATTCCGCCAGGCAGGAAGCAGGCAGGCTTTGCAGCTGCAAGGCTTTGCAATGGTAATCAATATATTCCGCCAGGCAGGAAGCAGGCAGGCTTTGCAGCTGCAAGGCTTTGCAATGGTAATCAATATATTCTGCCAGGCAGGAAGCAGCCAGGCTTTGAAGCTGCAAGGCTTTGCAATGGTAATCAATATATTCCGCCAGGCAGGAAGCAGGCAGGCTTTGCAGCTGCGAGGCTTTGCAATGGTAATCAATATATTCTGCCAGGCAGGAAGCAGCCAGGCTTTGAAGCTGCAAGGCTTTGCAATGGTAATCAATATATTCTGCCAGGCAGGAAGCAGGCAGGCTTTGCAGCTGCAAGGCTTTGCAATGGTAATCAATATATTCCTCCCAGGCAGGAAGCAGCCAGGCTTTGAAGCTGCAAGGCTTTGCAGTGGTAATCAATATATTCCGCCAGGCAGGAAGCAGGCAGGCTTTGCAGCTGCAAGGCTTTGCAATGGTAATCAATATATTCTGCCAGGCAGGAAGCAGCCAGGCTTTGAAGCTGCAAGGCTTTGCAATGGTAATCAATATATTCCGCCAGGCAGGAAGCAGGCAGGCTTTGAAGCTGCAAGGCTTTGCAATGGTAATCAATATATTCCGCCAGGCAGGAAGCAGGCAGGCTTTGCAGCTGCGAGGCTTTGCAATGGTAATCAATATATTCTGCCAGGCAGGAAGCAGCCAGGCTTTGAAGCTGCAAGGCTTTGCAATGGTAATCAATATATTCCGCCAGGCAGGAAGCAGGCAGGCTTTGCAGCTGCAAGGCTTTGCAATGGTAATCAATATATTCTGCCAGGCAGGAAGCAGCCAGGCTTTGAAGCTGCAAGGCTTTGCAATGGTAATCAATATATTCCGCCAGGCAGGAAGCAGGCAGGCTTTGCAGCTGCGAGGCCATTGAGTGCTAACACTCCACCAGTCTGCATTTGGGGAGCCCCCTCCCACCCTGAAGGCTTTGGCCCCGCCCCTCTGGCGCTGCTGAGAGAAGAGCAGGGGAGGTCAGCTGACTCAGAGTCACATGACCAGCCCGGCCAGGAAGGAGGCAACCAGGAAGCAGCCATGCTTTTGCTGCTGCTTCTCCTTTTTGGCCTCTGCTCTGCTGGGCCTGGCGTGGCAGGAGAGGAAGGAACCCCGGGATACCGCAGGAAGGTGAGGTGCTTGAGGGGTGGGGGGCTCCCTAATTTCCCTGGTCCCTAGTGGGGGGGGGGGTTAGGGGCCTGGGAGATGTAGTCCTGGGAGATGTAGTTCCACAAGGTCCAAATCCCCTCCACTGTAGAATGAGTGCAGTTTGGTCCCACTTTAATGCTCTGGAGTCCTGGGAGATGTAGTTCCACAAGGTCCAAATTGCCCACCTTCTTTCCTGGGCTGGCCTTGGCCCTTTTGGTTTCACTTCTGCTGCCCTTCTTCCCTTTTTCTTTGGAGGAGGAAATACATCTGGCATGCTAGGCAGTTAAAGAGGGAGGGAGTCCTGGGGAGATGTAGTTCCACAAGGTCCAAATCCCCTCCACTGCTTGGCCCCGCTTTAATGCTATGGAGTCCTGGGAGATGTAGTTCGGCGAGGTCCAAATGGCCGCCTCTGGGTGCATCTACACTGCAAAATGAATGCAGTTTGGTCCCTCTTTAACTGCCATATCTCAATGCTATGGAGTAATGGGAGATGTAGTCTCCTCTGATTGTATGTACACTGGAGAATGAATGCAGTTTGACTCCACTTCAACTGCCATGTCTCAATGCTATGGAGTTGTTGGAGTTGTAGTTCGACAAGGTCCAAATAGCCTCCTCCGGGCACATCAATGTAGAATGAATGCGGTTTGACTCCACTTTAATTGCCATGTTTCAATGCTATGGAGTCCCAGGAGAGGAAGTCCTGGGAGATGTAGTTCGACAAGGTCCAAATGGGCTCCTCTGGGTGCATCTACACTGTGGAATGAATGCGCTTTGACTCCACTTTAAGTGTCATGGCTTAATGCTATGGAGTCATGGGAGATGTAGTTTCGCAAGGTCCAAATAGCCTCCTCTGGGTGCATCAATGTAGACTCAGCTCTTTAAATGCCTGAGTCTCGTCTCTTTTCCGAGGTCTCCCTGGAATACAATCCCGGCTGGAACAGCTCGGAGGCCAACCTGCTCCACGTGCGTGCCGTGGGGCGCAACGACACCCTCCACTTGGTCTGGAGCACCATTGGGGCGCCCACCGCCCTCCTCGTTTACACCGGGAGCGACACCAGCGTCCTCCACGTCAACTGGACTACGTTGCTCTCCCCGTCTCCCTCTGGGGCCATCCGGGTCGAGCCCCCAGAGAGCGTCTTGTACTCCACGGCGGTCGTCTTTGCCAAGGTGCGCCCGGGAGGAGGAGATGCATAGGAAGCAAGTGTGGATGTTGCAATGAGCAAGCATTGAGTAGCCACGTAGCTGTGAAGTCAACCAGTGAGGGTATCTCCATAGAAGTAGCAAATGGAGTGTAGATATCCCCATGGAATGAAGTCCAGGAGGGGAAGGGGAACCCTTGTCTGTTTGAAGCAAGTGTGGGTGTTGCAATGAGCAAGCCTGAATAGCATTGAGTAGCCATGGAGTTTGCAAAGTCAATCAGTGAAGGTATCTGCATACAGGTAGCAAGTGGAGTGTATATATAGCTGTTGAATAATGTCTAGGGTGGGAAAAAAATCCTTGTCTGAATGCTGCAATGAACAAGCTTGAATACCATTGAGCAGCCACGAAGCTGCAAAGTCAATCATTGAGGGTATCTGCAAAGAGGTAGTAAAGCACTTTCTCAAAGTGGAGAGTATATATATTCTTTTAGAATAATGCCCAGGGTGGGAGAAAGAACCCTTGTCTGTTTGAAGCAAGTGTGAATGTTGAAATGAGCAAACTAGGATAGCATTGAATAGTCATGGTTTGCAAAGTCAGTCAGTGAGGGTATCTGCATAGAAGTAGTAAAGCAAGTGGAGCGTATATATACTTTTAGAATAATGGCCAGGGTGGGAGAAAGCACCCTTGTCTGTTAAAGCAACCGTGACTGTTGCAACAAGCAAACAAGCGAACTTTGCAAAGTCAATCAGTGAGGGTATCTGCATATAGGTAGCAAATGGGGAGTATATATATGTGTGGAATGAGGTCCAAAGTGGGAGAAAGAACCCTTGTCTGTTTGAAGCAAGTGTGAATTTTGAAGTTAGCAAGCTTGATTATCATTGAGTAGCTATAAAGTTTGCCAAGTCAATCAGTGAGGGTATCTGTATATAGGTAGCAAATGGGGTGTGTATATATATGTGTGTGGAATAATGTCCAGGGTAAGAGAAAGAACCTTTTGTGTCTGTGAAGCAAGGGTGGATGTTGCAATGAGCAAGCTTGAATCGCATTGAGTAGCCTTGCAGCTACAAAGTCAATCAGTGAGGGTATCTGCATAGAGGTAGTGAAGCAAGTGGAATCTATATATCATTGTGGAGTGATGTCTATCCTGGACTTGATATTTTTCAAAAGGTGTACGAGTACAACGGCGCCAACACGTCAGATCTCTCCCAAGCGCAGGCGGGTGACTTCTACCCCGCTTACGACTTGGCCAACTTCACTTGGGACAGTCTGGATGGGAAGTGGAACCAGTCAGATCTGTCGGCAACCTTTCGGGGGGTTGTGTCCGATCACGGAGGGACCGCTTGGAATGGGAGCATCTCTTTCCAGGTAAAGAAAAAAGGTGTTAATGGCTTCTGCCTTTCTAAAATGGAGTCTGAGTCCTGAACAAGCCCAGATCTGATCACATCGTATGCAGCCCCTCCCACAACATAGAGTTAAGGAACACTGCATACCGATATACAAATATACAATACAGTAATGGCTTCTGCCTTTCTAAAATGGAATCTGAGTCCTGAACAGGCCCAGATCTGAACATATGGTCTGCAGCCCCTCCCACAACATAGAATTAAGGAACATTATATGCCAATATACACATATRCAATRCWGTAATGGCTTCTGCCTTTCTAAAATGGAGTCTGAGTCCTGAACAGGCCCAAATCTGATCACATCGTCTGCAGCCCCTCCTACAACATATAGATAAGGAACACTGCATACCGATATACAAATATGCAATACAGTAATGGCTTCTGCCTTTCTAAAATGGAGTCTGAGTCCTGAACAAGCCCAGAACTGATCACATCGTCTGCAGTCCCTCCCACAACATAGAGTTAAGGAACACTGCATACCGATATACACCTATGCAATACAGTAATGGTTTCCGCCTTTCTAAAATGGAGTCTGAGTCCTGAACAGGCCCAGATCTGAACATATGGTCTGCAGCCCCTCCCACAACATAGAATTAAGGAACATTATATGCCAATATACACATATACTATACAGTAATGGCTTCTGCCTTTCTAAAATGGAGTCTGAGTCCTGAACAGGCCCAGATCACATGGACTAAACCGTATACTAATGCACACATATTTTGTCAGGTGATGGCTTTTGAAGGGAGCGACCGGGATGCGTCCCTCCCGCGCCTGCTCCATTCCGCAAACAGCTCCAAAGTGGCCTTCGTCATGCACGGGGTGGCCCCCCGGAGCAAACGGTCCCGCTTTGCACTGGAGATTTTCACGGTGGAAGAGGGAAGCGGTCGCAAAGAGCTGCAGTCCATCCGCTCCATCGACGATGAGTATACGCCGACGATATTCGAGGTACATTCGAGCGATTTATTTATCATTGGCTCTGCATCTCTCAATCTGTTCAGCGCCTTCCAAGTCGCCCAGTCTTCTGTGTGCCCAGGAAGGGAGTCTCTCATTTGGTCCCAGGCATTGATTGAGGTTCTGGGTTTGACCCTGCCACTTTTGGACTCTCGCTTGCTGTGGTGTTCCTGCAAGTATCTCTGTAGACTTTAGGAAGCTATTTCTTGATTTAAGGCATTGTCTTAAACAGAGGATGGGCTGGAGATGTCACTACCTCGGTCCAACCATTTCAAAGCTCCTGATTGGGTGGTGATGGCATGATCGTCAGCGTAGGTGGATGAGGAATCAGCTGGTATTCTCTGTCATAAGCAGTAAGAGCACCTAAAGCTTCGGAGAGCTTCTGTCCACATTGTGGACACTTGAACAGTCTGTTATCAGCACTAGGCCACACCTCCTGTATTCCAGAGTGACATATGATGTACGATGCTGCGTCCATTGCTCTATACACTTTGATTTGTGATCTCTCTAGGAATGCCGTTCCCTCCATGGTTCAGTTAACTCTTTCCACACAGAAATACTCTTGGCACAAAGCTATTGCATTTTAAACTACATACATACTTTATAAATTGCAAACAGTTCCAACAGAACTCAACAAAAAAGCTCCTGTTTTGTAGCAGATTTCCTATGAAGCGGGTGAGGTGGTAGTCCTGTGTGATATTACTCATTTTTCTCAGGAGAAGGGATGGGAGTTATGGTTCTCAAAGTGTTCTACCATACAAGTTCTGCATCCCGCATTTCCGAACCTACCGTGGGAACAGCAGACTACAGCAAACCTGGGCGGTGATGGCACGATCGTCAGCGTAGATGAAACTCTCTGTCCCTTCTGGCAGTGGCTGGCCATTGGTGTAAATGTTAAATATGAGGAACTGTATTAAGAGGCATTAGGAAGGTTGAGAAACACTGACCTAAAGCTTCGGGGAGCTTCTGTTCAGCCATTACAAAGCTCCCTGCCTGAGCGTTGATGACACTGTCGTCAGCATAGATGAGACTCTTTGTCCCTTCTGGGAGTGGCTGGTCATTGGTATAAATGTTAAACATTGATGGAAGAAGCACGCTCCCCTGAGGCGAGCTGTTCTGCTGTTTCCACCTTCTTCTCTGATCCTGAAACTCAACAAAAAAGCTCCTGTTTTGTAGCAGATTTCCTATGCTGACGATTGTGCCATCACCGCCAAAACAGAGTGAATTGGTAGTAGTGTCAATGTTAAACATGAGGAACTATATGAAGAGGCATTAGGAAGGTTGAGAAACACTGACCTAAACCTTCGGAGAGCTGCTGTTCAGCCATGACAAAGCTCTCTGCTTGGGCGTTGATGGCAGTGTCGTCGGCATAGATGAAACTCTCTGTCCCTTCTGGCAGTGGCTGGACATTTGTGTAAATGTTAAATATGAGGACCTGTATTAAGAGGCATTAGGAAGGTTGAGAAACACTGACTTAAAGCTTTGGAGAGCTTCCGTTCTACCATTACAAAGCTCTCTGCTTGAGCGTTGATGGCACTGTCGTCAGCGTAGATGAAACTCTCTGTCCCTTCTGGCAGTGGCTTTGTGTAAATGTTAAATATGAGGAACTGTATTAAGAGGTATTAGGAAGGTTGAGAAACACTGACCGAAAGCTTCGGAGAGCTTCTGTTCAGCCATTACAAAGATTTCTGCTTGAGCGTTGATGGCACTGTCGTCAGCGTAGATGAAACTCTCTGTCCCTTGTGGCAGTGGCTGATCATTTGTGTAAATGTTAAATATGAGGACCTGTATTAAGAGGCATTAGGAAGGTTGAGAAACACTGACCTAAAGCTTTGGAGAGCTTCTGTTCAGCCATTTCAAAGCTCTCTGCTTGAGCGTTGATGGCACTGTCGTCAGCGTAGATGAAACTCTCTGTCCCTTCTGGCAGTGGCTGGACATTTGTGTTTATGTTAAACATGGATGGAGCAAGCATGCTCTCCTGAGGCGAGCCGTTCTGCTGTTTCCGCCTTCTTCTCTGATCCTGGTACTCAACAAAAAAGCTCCTGTTTTGTAGCAGATTCCCTATGCTGACGATCATGCCATCACCACCCTCTGTCCCGAATGGCTCTCTCTCGTCAGGTGTTGACGTGTCCTCCATTTTTCCTTGGCGCAGATGGCGCAGCTGGTTTCCCTTCCCCGCAACGACACCGTCGGGTCGAGCTTCCTCCAGTGGAAGACGGCAGCCTACGCCTCTCCGGACGCCCAACGAGCCGACACCATCCACTGCCAGTATTACCCGCTGCGGACGGCTAACGTGACCCTCCCCGGGCACGGCATCGCACACGCTTACTTCGGCCCGGAGGCGGATTACGCCGTAGCCGGGCTCAACGTTTCCTTCGGCGGCGAGGACAGTGAGGCCTACCAAGAGAAGCGCTACCTGAGCTGGTGAGGAGGAGTCCAGGCATTTTTGGGCTCTGGTAGCATTCTCTCCTGATGCTTTGCCTGCATCTATTGGTACTGGCACCTTCAGAGGTTGTGTTGACAATGAAACAAGTGGAGTGTGTGTGTATATAAAAGCCTGTGGGTTCGTCCTTCCACCCTGGACATTACTCCCCAGATATATACATGCTACCTCTATGCAGATCCCCTCACTGATTGACTTTGCAAACTTCGTGGCTACTTAACGCTAGTCAAGCTTGCTCATTGCAACACTCACACTTGCTTTAACAAACAAGGGTTCATCCTCCCACCCTGGACATTTTTCCACAGGGATAGATACACTCCACTTGCTATCTCTATGCAGATACCTTCACTGATTGACTTTGCAAACTTCTTGGCTACTTAAAGGTAGTCAAGCTTGCTCATTGCAACAGTCACGGTTGCTTTAACAAACAAGGGTTCATCCTCCCACCCTGGACAGTTTTCCACAGGGATATCTACACTCCACTTGCAGATTCCCTCCCTGATTGACTTTGCAAACTTAATGGCTACTCAGTACTATTCAAGCTTGCTCATTGCAACATTCACATTTGCTTTAACAAACAAGGGTTCTTTCTCCCACCCTGGACATTATTCCACAGGGATAGATACACTCCACTTGCTATCTCTATGCAGGTCCCCTCACTGATTGACTTTGCAAACTTCATGGCTACTTAATGCTAGTCAAGCTTGCTCATTGCAACACTCACACTTGCTTTAACAAACAAGGGTTCATCCTCCCACCCTGGACATTTTTCTACAGGGACAGATACATTCCACTTGCTATGCAGATACCTTCACTTATTGACTTTGCAAACTTCATGGCCACTAAATGCTAGTCAAGCTTGCTTATTGCAACATTCACACTTGGTTCAACAGACAAGGGCTCTTTCTCCCATCCTAGACATTATTCCACAGGGATATCTACACTGCACTTGCAGATACCCTCCTTGATTGACTTTGCAAACTTCATGGCTACTCAACACTATTCAAGCATTTTCATTGCAACATTCACACTTGCTTTAATAGGCAAGGGTTCTTTCTCTCAATCTGGACATTATTCCACATGGATATATATACTCCACTTGCGACCTCTATGCAGATACCCTCACTGATTGACTTTGCAAACTTCACAGCTGTTCAATGCTATTGAAGCTTGCTCATTGCAACACTCACGTTGGTTTTAACAGACAAGGGTTCATCCTCCTACCCTGGACATTATTCCACATGTATACATACACTCCACTTGTGACCTCTATGCAGATACCCTCATTGATTGGCTTTGCAAACTTCATGGCTACTCAATGTTATTCAAGCTAATTGCAACATTCACACTTACTTTAACAGACAAGGGTTCTTTCACCACTCCGGACATTATTCCCTGGATACACACACACACACACACTTGCTACCTCTATAGAGAGACCCTCACTGATTGACTTTGTAGCTTCATGGCTACTCAATGCTATTCAAGTTTTCTCATTGCAACATCCACACTTGCTTTAACAGACAAGGGCTCTTTCTCCCACCCTGGTGTGTGTGTGTATAGATAAGATAGATAGACACCCCACTTGCCATCTTCATGCAGACACCCTCACTGATTGACTTTATAAACTTCATGGCTACTCACAATGCTATTCAAGCTTGCGAATTGCAACATTCACACTTGCTTTAACAGACAAGGGCTCTTTCTCCCACCCTGGTGTGTGTGTGTATAGATAAGATAGATAGACACCCCACTTGCCATCTCTATGCAGACACCCTCACTGATTGACTTTGCAAATTTCATGGCTGCTTAATGCTATTCAAGCTTGCAAATGGCAACATTCACTTGTTTTAAAGCCCTCCCGACAGATGGCCACCCACCCCCCGCTGACAACAGTTGTGACCGTTCTCTCTCCCCTTCCAGGTCGGCACTGATAGGTTATGGGGCGCCTGCCGAAGACACGTTCTCCCCATTGGTCATGGCGATCCTGGCGGTGGCGCTGGGGACTCCGGTGCTGCTTCTCGTGGCCGGCGGCATCACGGTGTGCGTTGTGGCGCAGAAGAGGCGGTACTCCGAATACGAACCCATCAACTGAGCGGCGGTTTAAGTTGGAAGGAACCCTAGGATGCACCCTCCCTGGGATTTGGGGGAGTGTTGGTCCAAGGATACCGCCTTTTGCAGCATTCACGGTTCAATTTGACTCAAACTTTTGAGAATGTTTACATCTTTTCGTGGGTTTCGCTTGGGATGAAAGCTCACTCCCTTGCCCTTGGACCTCGGGCAGTTTTGCACAGTTTGGCCCCTTTTCCTAAACTCTTTAGGTGCAAAAACTTTTAGGAGGACACCATCAAATCCTTCCCAACAGATGACCATCCAGACTTGAGGTCTCTTCCAGCTTTAGGATTGTAAGAGGAGACTCCATCAATAATAACATCCTAGAGCTTAAAGAGAACCCAAGGTGGTCACCTAGTCCACTGCCTTTCTGCCAGGTAGGAGGACACCATCAAAGCCCTCCCGACAGATGACCATCCAGACTTGGGGTCTCTTCCAGCTCGAGGATTCTAAGAGGAGACTCCATCAATCATAATATCCTAGAGTGGAAAGAGAACTCAAGGTGGCCACCCTTACTGTCAGGTAGGAGGACACCATCAAAGCCCTCCCTACAGATGACCATCCAGACTTGGGGGTCTCTTCCAGCTCTAGGATTCTTAGAGGAGACTCCTTCAATAATAACATCCTAGAGTGGAAAGAGAACTCAAGGTGGCCACCCTTACTGACAGGTAGGAGGACACCATCAAAGCCCTCCCGACAGATGACCATCCAGACCTGGGGTCTCTTCCAGCTCAAGGATTGTAAGAAGAGACTCCATCAATAATAATTTCCTAGAGTTGAAAGAGAATCCAAGATGGACGCCCCTCGTAGCTTATCGAGGATGTGATGGAGGTGTGTGTGTGTGTGTGTGTGTGTGTGTGTATATATATATACACACATACACTTTTTATTTCGTTCCGTGGCACAAGCAATACTCGAAACTGTGGTCTTCGATAACGGCATTTGTCAATCACAGGGAGACATTGCCATTTGGGATTGTTCTCTCCGTAAGCGGGTTTTGGGGCTTTGTTTACCCTTTGTTTACCCAGTAATTTCCTATTACTACCATTTTCTGTCCACAGGGAGCAAAAAAACTTCATCTCTCAGGGAACGCTCTGTTTCGGAGCCTTAAGTTTCTCATCCTTTGCAGGCTTGCTTGTGTTTACATGCCGCTTATATAATACGAATGGGATCTCTTATATGGGAAATGGCTTAGTTCTCCATATTCTTCGGACGTAAACACAAGAACCCCTTTGTCCCGATACGATTCCCACTTTAATTCTCAACTCCGCAGTAGCAATGTTAGCTTCAACGACTGCTTCCACGATGGCTTTGACTGCTGCCAACTTTTTCTCTCCTTGAGGCTCCTGTGCTGATAGAAAAAGACTTTTGGAGCATTGGGGATGGTTTTAGAACGTGGTTAGAGCCTACAACTGGACCACATAAAAACAACGTATTTTTCTTAAAGGGGCAAACCACTATTTGGCGTTGTTTACTAGCTGGTGTTGTTTACAATTGCACTATTGCTTATATGTAAAGGAGATGCACCTTTCTTGAATGGAAACTCATTCCAGATGTTATTGGGACTACACTTCCAAGCAGTTTTAGCCTATTCAAGCAATGGTTGAGGATGATGGGTTGTTGGGACTGCACTTCCCAGCAGCTTTTGCCTATATAACCAATGGTTGTGGATGATGGGAATTGCATCTCACCTCCCAAAGAAAACAAATAGTGAACTAGGAATGTGTTGTCAAAGGCTTTCAAGACCGAAATCACTGGATTGCTGTGAGTTTTTCGAGCTGTCTGGCCATGTTCCGGAAGCACTCTCTCCTGACATTTCGCCCACATCTATGGCAGGCATCCTCAGAGGTTGTGAGGTCTGTTGGAAACTCGGCAAGTGAGGTTTATGTATCCATGGAGTAATGTCCAGGGTGGGAGAAAGAACTCTTGTCTGCTGGAAGCAAGTGTGAATGTTGCAATCGGGCAGGTTGATTACCATTAAATGGCCTTGCAGCTTCAAAACCTGGCTGCTTCCTGCATGTGAGAGAATCCTCTATATATGTGGAATGATGTCCAGGGTGGGAGAAAGGACTCTTATCTGTTGGAGGCAAGTGTGAATGATGCCATTGGCTAGCTTGAGTAGCACTGAATGGCCTTGCAGCTTCAAAGCCTGGCTGCTTCCTGTCTTAGGGAATACTCTCTCTATATATATCATTATCTACCTATCTGTGGAATGATGTCCAGGGTGGGAGAAAGAACTCTTGTCTGTTGGAGGCAAGTGTGAATGATGCCATTGGCCAGCTTGAGTAGCACTGAATGGCCTCACAGCCTCAAAGCCTGTCTGCTTCCTGTCTGAGAGAATCCTATATATATATATATCTGTGGAATTGTGTCCTGGGTGGGGGAAAGAACTCTTTGTCTGCTTGAGGCAAGTGGGAATGTCGCCATTGGCCAGCTTGATTAGCACTGAATGGCCTTGCAGCTGCAAAGCCAATCAGTGAGGGTCTCCTCAGGGAGGTCTGTTGGAAATGAGGCAAGTGGACTTTATATATACCTGTGGAATATCCAGGGTGGGAGAAAGCGCTCTTGTCTGTTGGAGGCAAGTGTTAATGTTGCCATTGGCCAGCTTGATTATCATTAAATGGCCTTGCAGCTGCAAAGCCTGGCTGTTTGCTATCTGGAGGAAGCAGACCGCAGTTATATCTCCCGCCCTTGACATCATTCCACGCACACACACACACACACACACATATATTGCACTTGTCTCTTTTCCAACAGACCTCTCTGCAGATACCCTCACTGATTGACCTTGGAGCAGCAAGGACATTCAGTGCTAATCAAGGTGGGCAATGGCAACGTTCACACTTTCTCCCACGTTGGACCTCATTCCACACATACACACCGAGTCCACTTGCTTCATTTCCAAGAGGCCTCTCTGCAGATACCTTCACTGATTGACTTTGCAGCTGCAACGCTATTCAGTGTTAACCAAGCTGGCCAATGGCAACATTCACCCTTGCCTCCAACAGACAAGCGTTCTTTCTCCCACCCTGGACATCATTCCACAGATAGATAGATAGATATAGGATTTCCTCAGGCAGGAAGCAGCCAGGCTTTGAAGCTGCAAGGCCATGGAATGCTAATCAGGCTGGCCAATGGCAACATTCACACTTTGCCTCCAGCAGACAAGAGTTCTTTCTCCCACCCTGGACATAATTTATATATATATATATATATATATATATATATATATATATATATATATATATGTATATACACACACACACACACGCACGCACGCACGCACGCACAAACAGAGGCAGGAAGCAGCCAGGCTTTGAAGCTGCAAGGCCATTCAGTACTAATCAAGCTGGCCAATTGCAACATTCAGCCTTGCCTCCAACAGACAAGAGTTCTTTCTCTCACCCTGGTCATCATCCCATATATATATATATAAAGGATTCCCCAGGCAGGAAGCAGCCAGGCTTTGAAGCTGCAAGGCCATTCAGTGCTAATCAAGCTGGCCAATTGCTACATTCAGACTTGCCTCCAGCAGGCAAGAGTTCTTTCTCCCACCCTGGACATCATTCCACAGGTGTGTGTGTGTGTGTGTGTGTGTGTGTATATATATATGTATAGGATTTCCCCCAGGCAGGAAGCAGCCAGGCTTTGAAGCTGCAAGGCCATTCAGTGCTAATCAAGCTGGCCAATGGCAACATTCACACTTGCCTCCAACAGACAAGAGTTCTTTCCCCCACCCTGAACATATATCAACCCCACTTGTCTAGTTTCCAAGAGACCTCACAACCTCTGAGGATGCCTGCTGTAGATGTGGGAGAAATGTCAGGAGAGAATGCTTCTGGAACGTAGCCAGGCAGCCTGGAAGACTCACAGCAACCCCAAGTTTGCACTCAAGTGCAAATGTCTGTAACGAAAATACGAAAAGGGACGTCTTCACTTCTCGACGGGAATCACAAACTCGTCTTTCGCGGACCAATTAAAGAATGTATTGCCTCCTTTTTGTGAAAATGTTTTATGTGGAGAGAGTCAGGAACACTGGGATGTCTGTGGTGGAGGAAAAAAACCAGAAAATCTAGGATGGAACTGTCCCTGTATGAATGCCTTCACTTGGGTGGTGGTTTGTATTGTTTGTGGAGGATAATAGCAGAAATCTCAGTGGCCATCCACTCCAATGGAGAGAGTCAGGAACACTGGGGTGTCTGCGGTGGAGGAAAAAAACCAGAAAACCTAGGATGGAACTGTCCCTGTATGAATGCCTTCACTTGGGTGGTGGCTTGTATTGTTTGTGGAGGATAATAGCAGAAATCCCAGAGGCCATCCAATCCAATGGAGAGAGTCAGGAACACTAGGATGTCTGTGGTGGAGGAAAAAAACCAGAAAATCTAGGATGGAACTGTCCCTGTATGAATGTCTTCACTTGGGTGATGGCTTGTATTGTTTGTGGAGGATAATAGCAGAAATCCCAGTGGCCATCCACTCCAATGGAGAGAGTCAGGAACACTGGGATGTCTGCGCTGGAGGAAAAAAACAGAAAATCTAGGATGGAACTGTCCCTGTATGAATGCCTTCACTTGGGTGGTGGCTTGTATTGTTTGTGGAGGATAATAGCAGAAATCCCAGAGGCCATCCACTCCAATGGAGTCAGGAACACTAGGATGTCTGTGGTGGAGGAAAAAAACCCAGAAAATCTAGGATGGAACTGTCCCTGTATGAATGCCTTCACTTGGGTGGTGGCTTGTATTGTTTGTGGAGGATAATAGCAGAAATCCCAGTGGCCATCCACTCCAATGGAGAGAGTCAGGAACACTGGGATGTCTGCGGTGGAGGAAAAAAACCAGAAAATCTAGGATGGAACTGTCCCTGTATGAATGCCTTCACTTGGGTGGTGGCTTGTATTGTTTGTGGAGGATAATAGCAGAAATCCCAGAGGCCATCCAATCCAATGGAGAGAGTCAGGAACACTAGGATGTCTGTGGTGGAGGAAAAAAACCAGAAAATCTAGGATGGAACTGTCCCTGTATGAATGTCTTCACTTGGGTGATGGCTTGTATTGTTTGTGGAGGATAATAGCAGAAATCCCAGAGGCCATCCAATCCAATGGAGAGAGTCAGGAACACTAGGATGTCTGTGGTGGAGGAAAAAAACCAGAAAATCTAGGATGGAACTGTCCCTGTATGAATGCCTTCACTTGGGTGGTGGCTTGTATTGTTTGTGGAGGATAATAGCAGAAATCCCAGGGGCCATCAACTCCAATGGAGAGAGTCAGGAACACTGGGGTGTCTGCGGTGGAGGAAAAAAACCAGAAAACCTAGGATGGAACTGTCCCTGTATGAATGCCTTCACTTGGGTGGTGGCTTGTATTGTTTGTGGAGGATAATAGCAGAAATCCCAGAGGCCATCCAATCCAATGGAGAGAGTCAGGAACACTAGGATGTCTGTGGTGGAGGAAAAAACAGAAAATCTAGGATGGAACTGTCCCTGTATGAATGCCTTCACTTGGGTGGTGGTTTGTATTGTTTGTGGAGGATAATAGCAGAAATCCCAGAGGCCATCCACTCCAATGGAGAGAGTCAGGAACACTAGGATGTCTGTGGTGGAGGAAAAAAACCAGAAAATCTAGGATGGAACTGTCCCTGTATGAATGCCTTCACTTGGGTGGTGGCTTGTATTGTTTGTGGAGGATAATAGCAGAAATCCCAGGGGCCATCAACTCCAATGGAGAGAGTCAGGAACACTGGGGTGTCTGCGGTGGAGGAAAAAAACCAGAAAACCTAGGATGGAACTGTCCCTGTATGAATGCCTTCACTTGGGTGGTGGCTTGTATTGTTTGTGGAGGATAATAGCAGAAATCCCAGAGGCCATCCAATCCAATGGAGAGAGTCAGGAACACTAGGATGTCTGTGGTGGAGGAAAAAAACCAGAAAATCTAGGATGGAACTGTCCCTGTATGAATGTCTTCACTTGGGTGATGGCTTGTATTGTTTGTGGAGGATAATAGCAGAAATCCCAGTGGCCATCCACTCCAATGGAGAGAGTCAGGAACACTGGGATGTCTGCGCTGGAGGAAAAAAACAGAAAATCTAGGATGGAACTGTCCCTGTATGAATGCCTTCACTTGGGTGGTGGTTTGTAGTGTTTGTGGAGGATAATAGCAGAAATCTCAGTGGCCATCCACTCCAATGGAGAGAGTCAGGAACACTAGGATGTCTGTGGTGGAGGAAAAAAACCCAGAAAATCTAGGATGGAACTGTCCCTGTATGAATGCCTTCACTTGGGTGGTGGTTTGTATTGTTTGTGGAGGATAATAGCAGAAATCTCACTGGCCATCCAATCCAATGGAGAGAGTCAGGAACGCTAGGATGTCTGTGGTGGAGGAAAAAAACCAGAAAATCTAGGATGGAACTGTCCCTGTATGAATGTCTTCACTTGGGTGATGGCTTGTATTGTTTGTGGAGGATAATAGCAGAAATCCCAGAGGCCATCCAATCCAATGGAGAGAGTCAGGAACACTGGGGTGTCTGTGGTGGAGGAAAAAAACCAGAAAATCTAGGATGGAACTGTCCCTGTATGAATGTCTTCACTTGGGTGATGGCTTGTATTGTTTATGGAGGATAATAGCAGAAATCCCAGTGGCCATCCACTCCAATGGAGAGAGTCAGGAACACTGGGATGTCTGCGCTGGAGGAAAAAAACAGAAAATCTAGGATGGAACTGTCCCTGTATGAATGCCTTCACTTGGGTGGTGGTTTGTAGTGTTTGTGGAGGATAATAGCAGAAATCCCAGAGACCATCCACTCCAATGGAGAAAATCAGGAACATTGGGATGTCTGCGGTGGAGGAATCACATAGAACCTAGGATGAAATGGTCCTCAAATGAAAGGAATCTAGTGTCTAGATTAGGCATGGGCAAACTTGGGCCTTGAGGTGTTTTGGGTGGTGGGCAGTGTGGTGGTGGAGGATATTGGCAGGGCTCTTGGACATTTATACACTGGGGTGTCTGTGGTGGAGGAAACACATATAACCTAGGTTGGAATTGTCCCCGTATGAAAGCCTTCCCTGGGTGGTGGGCAGGACATTGTGTTGGTGGAGGACATTGGCAGGGCTCTTGGACATGTTGACACTGGGATGTCTGTGGTGGAGGAAACAGATAATCTAGGATGAAATTGTCCCCATATGAAAGCCTTCCCTTGGGTGGTGGGCAGTGTGGTGTTGGTGGAGGGCATTGGTAGGGCTCTTGGACATGTTTACACTGGGATGTCTGTGGTGGAGGAAACACATACAATCTAGGTACACAAAGACATATTTTTTTACTTTTATTAGGTGTATAGATAGATTGATAACCAGCCTTTTTCCCCCTCTTGAAAAGGCATTTCGTAGCCGACCACCAGCTGAACACGAGCCAACAATGTGATGCGCCAGCGAAAAAAGGCCAATGCGATTCTAGTCTGCATCAATAGCATGAGATCAAAGGAAATCGTATTCTTCTTTGGTCAGTAGGTAACGTTTTCCCCTTGACATTAAATCTAGTCGTGTCCGACTCTGGGACTCCGGCGCTCATCTCCATTTCGAAGCCAAAGAGCCGGCGCTGTCCACAGACACCTCCAAGGTCATGTGGCCAGCATGACTGCATGGAGCGCCATTACCTTCCCGCCAAAGC